GGCCTGACTAAGACTCCATGGGGAATCTAAATAATGGAGGATTAATTTCAGTAACCAAAAAAAGACAAACAATAACAAAAGATCCAGGGAGTGGATCATTGTTAGAGCCTCTATTTTAGTATGTTTTGTTCTTGTTGATCCATTTTGTCTGCAAGACATATTTAACTTGATGTGTTTATAATTACACTTAAATAAAGGTTTGTTTATTTAATTAATGTGCTATTCACTTAAACATTGTCTGAGAAGGTGGTGTGATTTTAAAGAAGGTTGCGGGGGAGGGGAGATGAACTGATGTAGGAGTCAACTCTGAGCTTTCTGTACAAAGGAGGCCCTAAATATACACAACCAGCTTTGTAATTATGTTGGGGGAATGCCCCAAATCCCTCTCATCCCAGATCATTTTTTCTAATCATTCAGCGAATATGCTGTGTGTACCTGAGGGGTCTCCATGCTAATAGCAGAGGTAGGAGAAACTGAAAAAGAAGTGGTGATGACAAAGTGTATCAACTTCACTGTTTTGCTGAGGGCTAGCATCTCCTGAATTTCAGACACAGTTCAGGTCCTCGAGTTTGAGCTGAGAGGTAGTAGAAACCATAAGTGGAAGCATGCAAACGCGTGCCCGGTCTCAAACAAAGTGTATCAACTTCACTGTTTTGCTGAGGGCTAGCATCTCCTGAATTTCAGACACAGTTCAGGTCCTCGGGTTTGAGCTGAGAGGTAGTAGAAACCATAAGTGGAAGCATGCAAACGCGTGCCCGGTCTCAAGGGACACACGAGAAATCTAATCATCCATCTATAAACTTTAAGGATTTCCAGGGGCAGCCCAGACACTCCAACCTCAAACTGATTATCGAAATGATTTATTAGCCTTCCTAGGGGAGATGGTATTTGAGTGCCTCTAAAGGCCTCTAAACACATGATGGAATTGTTTATACACAGAGTCCAGCTGGTGTAGACTTGTGGATTACCACTGCATTATTTTGCATCTTTTATTTTCCATTTGGATCATAGAACAATGACTTTGAATATCACATACAAATGTTTTTCCTGCTACTTTTTGCTTTTAGGATATGAACTTTCAGAGAGACAATTCAATTTGAGGTAGTGTAATCAGTGGTTAAGCATGAGGATTCTGGAGTCACAATGCCTGATAACTGCAAATCTCTGCTCCAACACTGACTAAATTGAAACACCAGAATATCTATTAGGAAATAAAAGGATAAATAAATTGTAATATACTATATATATATATATATATATATATATATATATGCAATGGTGTGCTACACAGCAGTGATAATGAATATGGATGACCTCACAAACATTGTTGAATGAAAAGAGGAAGTTTTAGGGAAATTCATCCAGTATGATACCATTGTTGTAGTGCTTAAATACCTACAAAACACCACCACATATTATATAGGGTTACATAAGTGTGTGAGAAAGTATGAAGAAGTGTATAAGAACTATAAACACAAATTCAGGAGCATGGTTACAGCTGGAGGAAGAGTAGTGCAAAAGGAGATTCAGTCATTTTGTGATGTTTCCATTCTTAGGTTAAGAGATAGGTGCTTATTGTTATTATATTATTCTTTATATTTTTTTTTGCTCACCTGAAATATTACAATCTTTTTAAAAGATTATATCATAGATTTGGCCCTGTTTTTATTGACATTACACATCACCTAAGCACTTTGACCATTTCTGCATCAGGGCATTCATATGTAGACACACAATTGTGAAATTAGAATCTCTCATTCCTAGGAAAAGTATGATTTTAGAATGCGTATTTAACAATAAATAATCTAGTCTACTTCCTATGCCAAAAGTAGTCTTTAGAAATGAGACAGATGGGCCGGCCCGGTGGTGCACTGCTACAGTGCGCCGCTTGGGAGCGCGGTGGCGCTCCCGCCGAGCGTTCGGATCCCACATACAGACCGGTTCCCACTCACTGGCTGAGCGAAGTGCGGGCGCAACACCGAGGGTTGCGATCCCATTGCCGGTCCCCGGTCCGGTACGGGCACGACACTGAGGGTTGCGATCCATTGCCAGACACAAAAAAAGACAAAAAAAAGGAAAAAAAAAAAGAAATGAGACAGATTATATGAAATAAATTTATAAGATTATAAAATGAAAGATTAATTTCTAACATATATTCTGTGACTTTAAAATTACTGGGCAAATATTCTATCTATATTTAGAAGAACTTATATTTGAAACAACTATTTTCTTTATAAAGTTGAATGCAATTAAATATTGCTCCTATTTAAAGGATTAAAGGCTAAATTTTTGTACTTCACACTACCATGACCAATATTAACCAGAAATTATAATCTACAATGAAAAAGTATTAGATTTTTAGTTTTAAATAAATTAGAATTATGAAATTAATACATAGATTATTAAAATATAATTGAATAATTAGACATTTCTTATTATCAACTTGTATTTTCAATGAATTTAATATATTATCTTTAATATCATACATGTTTGTCTTACGTGCCCAGTTCAACAAAAATAAACTTTTATATAATTCTGACAGATTTTTTTTAATATGTGCTTGATTTCACCCATTACATTATTTTTAAAGCACTTACAGGCATCTGAGTTTGCAAACCACTGGTTTATAGGCCACAGCACCATAAAAACATAAAGAAAAGTATTTCTTCACTCAAAAATGGGAGGAAAATTCTCTGAGATCTAACTTTGGCAGAATTGTATTTAAAATCCATCACCAGACAAAATGATGAAACTTGTAACTTGATGTGCTTTCATAGCAGTTAATTCACCACTTGTACCAGCCACCACCACAAAATTTGTAGGTCTTACCTTTACAATTGTGTATCTGGCCAATTCAAAAGGTTTTCTAAAACCGAGGAATATTGTTTCTCAAAAGTGATTTCAAATTTTATCTTTTTAAAAAAAATTATTTTATTTTAACATTTACTTGCACATATTTGTGAGGTACATATTTGTGGAGTACTTTACCCCATATTCAATACACACATATAGTACACAAAGATTCACTTAGGGTAGAAAGCATAGTTTTGCACCCACCCATTAGTCCACCACTTTTCCTCCCCCTCGCCCACTCTCCCCTCTCAGCCTCTGGTAGCCATTAATACAGAAATGGCCACTTTCAAACAACATTTTCTTGAAGTTTATGCTTTACAACTTTTCCAAAATCTTAGAGCCAATTTTTAGGCTCTTCAGATCTTCTCTTTCTTAATCAATTTTGGTACATTATATTTGTATCTATTTATTTCGTGTACATTTAAAATTGTAATGGCTTAAATTTGTGTATTCTCTTATTATTATATTTCACAGAATCTGAGATGGTATCAATTATAAGACACACCATTATTTTATATATCACTATGGGAGAAAAATTAAAATCTGCCAATTAAAATATTGCACAATGCTCTAGTGTCATTGACTGGGATATATCGTAAATTCAGAGGTGTTATTAAGTGAAAAAAAGTCTCAGAGTCAATGAAAGATAGTACATTTTAAATCTCTGTGTATCTTTTGTTTATCTCTAATGAATGGTGTTTACTCCATGTGTGGAGTGCAACATGGGTTGTGAATCCAAGTAAAATAAAATGCAACTTTAGTGTTTCAAAGCCTTCAGAATGTGCATGTCCTTTGATCTAGCACTTACATCTCTGGAAACTTAGCCCAAGGAAATTATTAGGAATATGTACAAAGATGCATGCATTTGGGTGTTCATTATCCATTGGGTTTATTAGAAAATAACTAGAATACTAAGAATTTACATTCAAGATGCCAGATATCATGCTATTAAAATTATAATCATTATATTGCTTATTTCTCACAACAATCCCATGTGGCATTTGCTATAATTATTCCTATTAACAGATGAAGAAATGGACGTTTAAAGAGACTAAGTAACTTAGTCAAGGACATTCAACTAATGAATGACAGATCCAAGAATCAATTCCAGGACTAATTTTAAATACTTTGTTCTTATCCACTACACTTTACTAAAAGATTCACAGTTGTCCAAATTGTTAAATAAATCACATACTTTTACACCTGAATAAATAAATTATATACTCTTATACCTGCATACAACACATATATTAAATAATACATATTGACATGGAAAGATATCTATAACACAGTGTTAGTTTAAAATATAATGTATAGATTACAAAACAATATGTACAATATGGTCCCATTTTTCTCAGTGAGCCAGTATCTCTCATCTATCTATCTGTTTATCTATCTACCCACCTTGAAAGAATACATCCTGAGATAAACGTGCAAACTTACAGACTTTTTTAATCAATTTTCCTCATCAATATTTTCTAGACATTTTTTTGTAATGACCACATGGAGCTTTTATAGCAGGGAAGAACAATAAAAGAAAAACTCCAAATTTAATATGGAGTAAAAATTCCTTGACAATAAGACTTGAGTGTCATTCACCCCCTCCCTGCTCCTTGTGTCCAGCAGAGCTCCATGCCCAAGTAATACAAATTGTCACCATATGGTCTGGAAGGTGAGCCGGGGGGGTCAGAGAGGAGAAGTCCGTGATAAAGGGGACTGAGAAGAGCTGGCAGTGAATAGACCAAATGGGACACATGAGGACCCTGCTCACTGGTATCCGTGACTTCAGCTGGATTTCTTAACATTTTTATTTTGACATCATCTCAGACTTACAGAAATGTTGTTTTTTAAAAAGTACAATTAATTTTCAGATAATTTTTACCCGGATTTCTTATTTGTTAACATTTTACTACATTTTCTTCGCACTGTATTTCAAGAGGATTCAGACACAGAGGAAGAGTGAGTCTGTGTTGAGGTATTTTGTTTTTCAAATTCTCCTAAAAATGTTCCCCTGTGTCAGAACTCCCCTGGCGGGAACCTTCCTCTTACCAAGGCTAGAGACTCCCTTCCCCTCTTGGCCCCTCCTGCTCCCTTTGCCAAAAACACTGAACAGGAAGTGATGCTGCCAAGACAGAGAGACCGTGTGAAGAAGGAAAGACATTGTCTGAGCAGAAGGAACATATTTTCAGGAGACAGAGCCCTTGCCCACTGCACTGGGCATTAGGCTATCGGAAAGAGCCCCCTCTGCAAGCCAGCCCAGCCTTCCAGGGAAAGAGAGCAGGTTAGTTTGTCTGTCTGTCCTCTCTGTGCAGACTGTTGGCTTTTCTCCCCAATGCCATGACCTTAAAGAATGTCTGTTCTCTCTGTCACCTACCCCTGGCATATTGCACATTGAATGTTCTGACAACTGAGGTCATGATGGACAAGACCACAAATTAAGGTCTTTGGGAGCAAGGGTCATTTCAAGGCTAAGGGCTCTTGAAATGCAGGAGAGGATCTACTTATTAGACGGAATTTAGAAGGCCACATATGGGGACAGAGCTGAGGCCCAGAGCTAAGGGATGGGTGAGGGAGAGGCAGCATGTCAAGTTGAAAGGCTCTCAACAGCACAAGGTCCTGTCTGTGATCTGGGCATGTGCTGGGTCCTCTCCTTATACCTGTCACTGGCATGCCTGTCTTCCAAGCCTCCCATGGGTGCTGTAAGCAAAAGACAGGATGTGTCCTGGTAAAAAGCAGCCTTGTCCCCAAATTCTGATGGCATTATATTTTAACCCCCACAGGCCTCCGAATCTTGTCATCATGAACTGGCATATGATAATCTCTGGGCTGATCGTAGTGGTGCTTAAAGTTATTGGCAAGCAAAAGACAGGATGTGTCCTGGTAAAAAGCAACCTTGTCCCCAAATTCTGATGGCATTATATTTTAACCCCCACAGGCCTCCGAATCTCGTCATCATGAACTGGCATATGATAATCTCTGGGCTGATCGTAGTGGTGCTTAAAGTTATTGGAATGACCTTTTTTCTGCTGTATTGTGAGTATCTGAGCTACCTCTTACCCCAACCTGCATACTGTCTTGCTCTTTGACTCTCCTTTCAGAATGTTGGTTGAGTGTAAAGGGTACGTGCCCAAGTCTTTTCATCTGAGGACAACTTAACAATGTCCTTCTAGCTCCCTAACACACACAATGGGCCAGGTTCTTGCTCTGCCTTGGAAACGTAGAACTGACCATTGTCTTGTAGTCAAAACCCCAGGGCCGACCCCGTGGCTCACTCAGGAGAGTGCGGCACTGGGAGCACAGCGGCGCTCCCGCTGCGGGTTCGGATCCTATATAGGATATGGCCGGTGCGTTCACTGGCTGAGTGCAGTGTGGGCGACACCAAGCCAAGGGTTGTAATCCCCTTACCAGTCACAAAAAAAAAAAAAAAAAAAAAAAAAAACCCACACAAAGCTTTTGCTACTAGAGTATTAATTGGCTAATCTGAGCTGAAGTATTTGGCAGTGCTTGTTATTGTTGCTAAAATTTGAAAATACAGCTCCAGTTCAACCCAATGATAAAGCTGTGGTAAGAACTGAATTATAAAGGAACAGGATTTAACTGAGAGAGAAAATTTCTCTCTATGTGCATATAAATTAGTTCACCCAAATGCTTAGTAAAAGAAGTCTCATATCAAAGGATTTTACTGCAGTTCATCAAGTAGAATCTTCTCCAGCCCCAGAAGCCAGTAGGAAAAATAAACAAGGAAGGAAATGTAAGTAGGAGGCAGCAGTTGGGTAAGAGATGTCTTGCTTGTGACTCAATCTGAAGGTGCAATTCCTGTTGCTTAAGAGAGCAGGAAACAGATATGAATAGGAATAAGTGAACATATTCACAGAAAAAAACACGTACACATCTCCACTGACCTGAGCCAGAGAGCTGAGTATTCCCCATGAACAGTCACAGTGCCTGGGGTGATACCTGTTTGTTATATTTACTGTGCAGCCACATTTGGGGCTGAGCCAACAACTGATTTTCTTTGCAGTCCCACAGATTTTTGGCAAAAATAATTATGGCTTCACCCCCACAGGGAGCTACAAAACAGGTAATGTGCAGGAAGGTAATCTCCTCTTCACCATCCAGCTTCTTTGTTCTTTTTTTGTAAATTTTATTTTATTTTATCAATATACAATGTAGTTGATTTTCTTGTCCCTTTACCAATTCCTCCCTCCCCCCCTCTCCCCCCTCCCCCCATCAACATCATATCTGTTCATTTGTCTTAACAAGTTCAAGGAATTGTGATTGTTGTGTCTTCTTCCTCGTCCCCCCGCCCCAATTTGTGTATTTATTTATTTATTTTTAGCTCCCACAAATAAGTGAGAACATCTGGTATTTCTCTTTCTGCGCCTATGAATTCCCTTATTTGTACTTATAGAAATAAATGAACCCTTCTCTGCTTATAGAAAACCTCTGGAATGATCACCTGCTTCCTTTTGTGCCAATACCTCTTGGTCCTGAAACTTGTTCAAATTAGCCACCATCCTTAGAGCTGATAAAGCTGATGAGAAATGAGTCCAAGAGCTGCCCAGGACTACGAGCCTTCACGCAGGCTTTAGGACACCAGAAATAGGGAGAAGAGCAAAGCTGCTGTGTGGGGCCTGCAGTGGAAGTGATCCAAACAGCTCTTTAGGGATGACACTGTCAAAGGCCTATAGAAGAGAAGACTGAGAGTGCTTCTCTCTGATACTAAATTCCTCCATTACTTTTCCTTTTTCCAGCCCTTTCTCTCAGCATTTCACACCCATGGCCACACCAAAAAAAAAAAAAAGTCATGAAATAGGACTTCAGATGTCAGGCATGAGAAATAATGGTAGTAGTTAGATGGAAGGTTCAAAGAAAGAAAATATGTGAAAATTCTAGCTCAGAGGGTCCAAGATCCCCTTGTCATTCCACCTTCCAAAGACAATAGTCACAGTCCATATTCTGTTGTTTGTGTGTTTTATTCATTGTGCAGTAACCTTCAGGTTTTCTTTTCATTTCAGTCTCGCAGATTTTTGGGAGCAGTTCCTTAAGTCCCAACAACTTAATGCCCACGAGGAGCTATGGAACAGGTGAAGTGCATGGATCCAACCTCCTCTCCACCCCTAGGTTCTCAGGGGTTGAATTCTTAGAGATTTTCCCCACTGCCTCTCTTCTTATGGAACTTTGTTCACTTAAAAGGGCCCTAAACACCTTCTAGTTTATTCCCTTTATGTTATTGACAGGGAAACAGACTGGACTGGGTGGAATTTCTTACTGAATTGAGGATCAATTGTATCAATATAATCGTTATAAAGAAACCCATGTCCCACCATTTTACGAATGGATTCCAGGGTTCACACCTCAGATTACTAACCTTATACTCCCTTTTTTTTGGATCTCTTCAGTCTGCCCCACTGGCTGGGATTTTCATCAAGGAAGATGTTTCTTCTTGTCCACCTCTGAATTATCTTGGAATGAAGGCAGGGACTCTTGCAAAAAGGAAGGATCCACTCTGGCAATTGTCAACACACCACAGAAACTGGTGAGAGCATTGGAATGCTGCAGTAAAGCAGCCCACCCTACACCAGCCCCAGTGGCTGGAGATGCTGGGGTACTTTGGTGCAGCGGGGGTGGGGTGGAAGTAAGGAAAGGAGAGATGGCTGGCTGGGAAGTTCAAGCTCCTTGCTCTGAACCTCGGGTTGGGAGACTTTTCTCAGCAGTAGCAGGGCATGTTCTGCAGGTTCATCTGAACTACACGGACTGGTATCACAAGGACAGGCCAAGACATTTAAAGTGCAGGGAATGACCACATGAGTTGACATGTATAAAAGCTGTTTAAAAACTACAGCATACATCATAGATGTGGGCTATTAATATATCATCCCAGTCTGCATAGTAAATAAGTAAAATGCAAATTTTTAAAAATTAGTAATTTGAGAAAAAAAGAATCAGGTCATAGAATTAGGTTTGAAGTTTGTAATAATGATAATAAAAATAGATAACACTATGAAGAAAGCTTTATTTATTATCTCCTTTTACTTTGTAACAACCCTAAGGATGCATTATTATCCGTATTTCATAACTGAGGGAACTAGGGCACAGAAAAGTAATTTGACCACAGTCATACACCTAATGACAGAACATGGGATTGAATTCAGATCTCTCTGACTCCAAAACCTGTACTCTAATCAATTTTAGACCATAATTTATTTTAGCTTATAGTTGCCTCTCCTTCAAATCTTAAGCATTTGCTGAGTGCTAGGCACCGTGCTATATATACAGTTCTTGTCTCTCTCCCCTCTGTTCCTTCATGCCTCCTTAAAAAGTCCTCCTATGGGGCCAGCCCAGTGGCGCACTGGAGAGTGCGCCGCTTGGGAGCAAGGCAGCGCTCCCGCCGAGGGTTCAGATCCCATGTGGAGACCGGTTCCCACTCACTGGCTGA